TTTCTTGCTGGAAATATTGCTTCCTTCTGTTTGCTCAAATGTAGATTACAAAGGACATTAACTTCAAAGTCAACGTTTAGGCATCTGGACTGCCGAAAAGATGGCAGAACAAATGCATGTTTATTTAAGTGCTCCTGCCCTCTGACCCACACATCCAAAAATTGAACAAGAAAAGCTGCCTGTAATGAAACTAGTAAAAGCCACAACTCCATTACCACAGACTCCAGGGCAATATCTGACAGATACAACCAAGTTGGGAATGAATCAAAGAAGGGTTCTTGCATTTGCCCAGCATTTCTCCCAGTCTCCAGTGGCCACAATTGGTGGGCAGTTAATGACAGGATTCCCAAGAACTCTACTGATCATTTGTTAACTTGGCAAAACAGGACTGGCAACAGTTAGGAGAGGCTGGCCACACTCTGTGTGGGCATATTTCCACAAAAACGAGGAGGGGAGGTTGAGATCTCAGATGCACCATGTGTGTTCATCCCCTCCTGTATCCAAAAGAGGAAGAGCGGCGAGAAGCAGGACCAGAGGAGAGAAACTACCTCAGGAGCTGATTTCACAAACGTGTGCCATGTGCAATCCAGGAGAGCAGAAGTATAAACCCACCATGTTCCTGCTAGGATAACTAGTGGGAATGGGGAAATGCAAAGTGGATCTCTCTCCCAATGGGACCTGGCCACCCCCAGGGCAGAGGATTCAACAAAGTCTATGGAAGGCACTCACAGACAACATGTTCCAAGGAGGCTTCGCATCACTCCTTATTCCCCCAAATCCAAATAGCAGAATGAATGAAAACCAAAAACACCCTCCACCACTATAACCCATCAAGAGCTAGCCTTAGAGTTAAAGTGCTAAGGTTATCATTCAAACATGTCTCGCTCAAAAGAGGAGGAGTCAAGGAGGATTTACCCACTCTTCTTGGACAGATAGAACTGGTACCATTCAAAGGCATACAAAGCAGAGGGGGTCATCATGATACTTGTGCATCAAGATAAAAGTAAAATAATACAAGAAAAGGAATGAAAGATGCAAAGGATAGATAAATACATGCTGGAAAAAGAATGAGCTCATAAACATGAAAACTGTAGACAAAATTGTTCAGCCGTGGAAGAAATAATGAATCAAAGATAACAACATAATGAGCTAAGAAAAGAAAGAGATAAAAAACGAAACTAGGCTGTGCATGGTGGTTCACGCCTATAATCGCAGCACTTTGGGAGGCTGAGACCGGTGGATCACTTGAGGTCGGGAGTTTGAGACCAGCCTGGGCAACATGGTGAAACCCTGTCTCTACTAAAATACAAAAATTGGCTAGGCGTGGTGGCATAAGCCTGTAATCCCAGCTACTTGGGAGGCTGAGGCACGAGAATCACTTGAACCTGGGAGGCAGAGGTTGCAGTGAGCAGAGATCGTGCCACTGCACTCTAGCCTGGGTGACAGAGTGAGACACTGTCTCAATAAAATAAAATAAAGTAAAACTGTAACAGAAGTGGAAGCCACATTACAAGGAACAAGCCCTAGGATCAACAGTACAGAAAACTGAGTCAGTCACTGAAATGGAGGATAAGACTTGAGAAAAAATCATACAGTATGAAGATGAGATGAATGCCATCTAAGGAAAGATAAATGTGAAGGACAGATGACAGAGAGCCAATATAAAAACAAAATTTTGAAGAAGAGCACAGACTAAACTGATACAAAATGCAGTGAGGCCTGAAATGACAATATCTAATGCTCAGTGCATTCTAGAAAAAGGCAACAGACAACAGCCAATCCTGAGGTATACTCCAATGAAGTTACTAAACTTCAAAGATAAACAAGGAATTCAAGTATCCAGGGCAAACAATCAGGTCATCTACAAAAGGGGAAGAAAAAGCCATCAGGACTCAGACCTTTCAGTGCCACCAGACATGGACAACAATAAAGTAACAATAACATCATGTCTCCAGAGAATTGAAGGAAAAAGGATGTGATCCAAGAATCTGATAGCCAGCCAAGTTATTGTTCGTAAGTAACAGCAACAGGAATACATTTGTAAATATGCAACAAAACCCAACCGAAGCTGTAATCCAGTCTGCAAAAAGATAAAAGCATCAACTCTCAAATGTGGAGTCTTTGTATGAAAGGGCTGGCAGTGAGCACTGAATTCATTCAGACACAGAAATCTAAATAACTCTAGTAATTACCTACAGCTATCCACTTCAAGTTGCCTGTCTTTTTAGGTAAAAGCTGCCAAATCCATCTGATTATCTCCTGTAACTATGCCAAAATGGAAACACACAAAAGAAAACCTCTCCTGAATGGAATTAACTTGCCCTATAGAAAATTTGGGGTTTAGAGCTTACCCTTTGAGAATTAGTATACTCAAGAAATTCCTCAAAAGAGATAATACGAATCACCTGGTGTATTGTTCAGAGCACTACCTAACTGCTTGCTTTGGCCCTTCCATTGACTTACCATGCCACCTTGGCAAGCTATTTAAGTGCTTTGGGATTCATATGAAAAATAGAGACTGCGTGGTCTACCTCATGGCATCATAAGGATCAAATGGCATGCTGTATGTGAAAGGTCTTTGGAATCTACAAGCAAGACTGTAAAACCATGTCACACTGTTTGGATGGAAAGAATTCTGTATTCAGGAGCCAAAATCAGATATTTAGAGACAAAAAAGGAAGAGATGGCTCCTGTGGATCTATCCTTCCACTTCTTTACATTTTTTCTACATTTTAAAGTCATCTCTTAGCACTATAAGGAAATTCAGCACTTCCACAGCTCCCGACCTGAATTTCCATATTTTTAATTTAGAGACAAGGATGGTTTAAGAACTTAGATGTTGCCCTACCATCCAAGGAAAATGTCTGACAGTTTTCTATCTTTGATTCACCTATTTATGAATATTATTATTTTAATATTACTTATTAACATTTATTAAGCACCTACTATGTGTCAGGCACTATTTTAAATAGACACAGTCCCCACTTAAAATAAAATAAATGAGAGAGCAATACAGAGGAATGGGAAAGAATTTAGCTGAAAAAGGTCCATGTCTATTTATGTTACAACCTATGCGGAGAAATCTGACCATTGGCTTATAGGCAAACCCAGTAAACAGCCAGATTCTCTGCCTAAATTCAGAGAATTATGTACAATTGACAAAAAGGATCAATGAATACTTGGGTAAAGGGGCTAGAGTAAGCTAGGAGAACACAAGCTGTTCCTGAAACTCTTCTTGCAGTTGCTTTAGGATTAAAGATAAATTTTTAATGAAGAAAACAGAGGAGAAGCAAGTTTATACTGGGGATCAGATGATGGATGTGAGTAAGCCACACTGAAATCAATCTTTACTTTTGAAAAACACTTGTAAAGGGAAGAATGTAATGGGATTTTTCTACACCGTATTTTCCATATTGAGCCCCTTACATGGTGCTGCTTATGAAGATGTGGCAATCGATGGGCCTTCCTCAAACAAGAGAAATGCTGTCAGAGTCAGGGAGTAGGCAGCACGCCCTAAACTGTTGCCTCCTCTTTCCTATAGTGTATCACACTTGAAAACATAAAGGAGTATCGCTGGAAATTGAAGCCTAGGAAGATAATATCTCATGTTTATAAGGAAGCTAGGGGCTGGATGTGGCAGCTCACACCTGTAATCCTAGCACCATGGGAGGTAGGGTGGGCAGGTCACTTGAGGTCAGGAGTTCGAGAACAGACTGGCCAACATGGTGAAACCCCATCTCTACAAAAAATACAAAAACTAGCTGGGCATGGTGGCAAGTGCCTGTAATCCCAGCTATTTGGGAGGGTGAGGCACAAAGATTGCTTGAACCTGGCAGGCGGAGGTTGCAGTGAGCTGAGATCGCACCACTGTACTCCAGCCTCGGGAACAGAGTGAAACTGTGTCAAAAAAAACACAAACAAACAAACAAACAAAAAACACCAAGCTAGGGTCTTTGCATGTAAGGATGTAAGGACCTTTTTTTTTGTTTTTTTTACATTTTTTACACTACACAAAAATAATCATATGGAACAGTCCCATCACCAAAACACTGACTCAGTCCTCACACCTATGGGCTTCCTATGGCCCACCTCTCACCAGTCTCTTGGAAGTACATCAGTATTTCTTTCACCTGACTGATTACATATACATTCTCTGATGAAATTCTTCTAAGGATGGAAGAGATGAGCTCTTTCTAAAGATGAATGGAACTGTCCTAAGCTCAGGTAATACAATGAAATAAAAGAAAACCAGATCCAGCGGAACTAAGAGAAACAGGAATGCAATCAAGCCACATGCAGCTGGTCAAAGCACACCTCCTCTTGGGGAGAAATCCCCCACAGTGGTGGGAGTGGGGCTAATTGCATTGGTACTATCACATGACTAAAGCAGGATGAATGGTTTACAGGTCAAAACTTCTATATCAGTGGACTCAACACAAATTGGAGTGAAACATTTATATGGACATTAAAGCAGGGCAGAAGTCAAAGTAGATGATACATATGAAAAATCACCATGAAGAGAAGCGCATCTTGTGGAGCTGTATATAGGATGCTGGTTTTAATCCGGATTCTTAGATCACTTCTATTTCTAAGGGTAAATATAACATCATTCCTCTTTCCTTATCTCAAGTCATCTGCTAATTCCCACTTCCAACTTTTACCAAAAACGACTGTGAAAATCAGATTGAGCTGACAATTCTAAAACTGGCTAAGATTAATGAAAATAAAAATTATCAAGACCTGAAGCATTTTTCAAAAATTAACTAGAGAGTCCTTTTCCCTCCAATAGTCTATTTTACAACTAGTAAAGTGCATCACACTGAAACTTCCAATTCCTTTGAAGACTACAAAGGAATAAAATATGACACACGTACAGTATTAGATAGATGGAAGTTTGACAGAAGCATAAAAACTCCACTTCACACTCTTTACAAATTTGGTATTGACCAGGAGGCAGTTTTCCACTTAAGATCTTTGAAACCAAGCAGTTGGGTGAAAAATTCTAAGACAACATTTGGAATGCTTTAATCAAAAGAAGTATACAAATGAATTTTAAAATAAAATCAAGGCATCAATGAGGAAGATCTAACATGAAAGTCACCACATCTCACAATGAGAATCCGATCAGATGAAAGAAGGCAAAAGTCTAAATCACAGAGTGGCAGAGGGAGGCATGGGAGAACAAAAGGCCCTGGGACTAAATCATCAGGGCTTCTCCAGCTGATGTCTTCCACTTCCAGGGTCCCGGGGCCCTAGGTGGAGGTTTGGGACAAATATGGTATTTGGTCACAAGGAGCAACAGTATGATCTGCTGTATCTGCAACGGGGAAGGCGCACAGAATCCTGGAGGGACTGAAGACATCAGACGCTATGATAGTAAGATGGAGAGTACGAGGGCACAAGAGCTGTAAGGAGGCTCCGTGCTCTTTGGCGACAGGCGTCAATCACACCACAGCAAGATGCCATAAACAAGTTACAACTTTAGTGGAAGATCTGGAGTAGTTACAGGAAAAGCTCCATGAAAAAGTCCAGGTGGTACACAGAAGATACACACTCAAGCACTAGGAATAACTATGATGCCACGCTCAGCAGGTGGAAGAAAGCAGCTCTCTCTGGTTGACTTGCAGAAGACAATGTTTCTTCACAAAGAGGACCAGATCATTCAATCCTCTAGAAAGTTCTATTAGTTTTGATCTTGTCCCTACAAAGAAAACAATGAGAATATCCATAGTGAGTTTGTGAGTACAATCTCCTGTTTAGACCAGGACTTAGAGCATTTCATTATAGTGATAATTCAAAAACCCTTGCTGTATCTCAGAATTACAATTAATACAGAAATAGAATGACCATTTAATTACTTATGTATACTTTAAAACAGTTCTTTACTCTCAGTGAAAACTGGTTAGAATAGGGAGTGACTGCTAAAAAGTATGAGATTCCTTTTTGGGGTGATGAAAATACAGTAAAGGTAGATAGTAGGAAGGGCTGCGCAACTCTGTGAATATGCTAAAAAACATGGAATTGTATACATGTATGTATGTATGTATGCATTGTTGAGACGAAGTCTCACTATCACCCAGGCTGGAGTGCAGTGGCATGATCTTGGCTCACTGCCGCCTCGGCCTCTGGGTTCAAGCGATTCTCCTGCCTCAGCCTCCTTAGTAGCTGGGATTACAGGTGCCCGCCACCACCACTCAGCTAATTTTTGTATTTTTAATAGAGACAGGGTTTTGCCATGTTGTCCAGGCTGGTCTCAAACTTCTGACCTCAAGTGATTTACCTGCCTTGGCCTTCCAAAGTGCTGGGATTACAGGCATAAGCCACTGTGCCTGGCTGGAATTGTATATTTGTAAAGGGTGAATTTTATGTTGTGTGAATTAATCTCAATAAAACTGTTACTTAGAAACTGTTCTGAAAATAAATTTTCTTAGAATTTCTCATGTATAAATACCAAGTGAATTTACTATACTTACTAAATTCTCTATATATTTTTTTGTTTTTCTTTTTTTATATATATACATATACTTACTATTTTCCCAAATCTCTACCGATTATTTGCATAGTATAACAATTTTAATTGTCAGGCTAAGTAAGCATTTTAAGATTTTAACAACTGTTTTCTGCTTAAATTTGTTCATCTAATAATATATTAGAAGATAATACTTAAGTAGCATACAACCTGAACTACTTAGATTTAAAATTGCCTTTAAAATAATATTCAATTAAAGCCATCTTTTTACAACCAAACCTTTTTCTAAAGATGGCTTCAGCACTACTCAAATTACTCGAATATCAAAGCAATAGTTTGAGCAGTTTGAATCAACTGGTCACAATGATGCTCAACATTCTATTTGACTTACATACAGACTGAAAACAGAATCAACAGAAATTGATATGATCCAGGTATTTCAAGCTGATTTAGCTTAAACTTGGCTGGGGAATGGTCAGAGTATGTATGTTTGTACACATAAACAAAACTTTTCTAAACTTCATCATTTGAGATGAGTAGCCAGTCCAGCAATATTGTGTAGCAGTTCACCATGACACTTCCATAGGAAAAAATAAATATCCATATGAACATCATTTTTAACACCTGTCAGAGAAGACCAATGCTACTAAATGGTACAATATTGCAAAGCTATATAAACTGTATTTGCACACAAATATCTTTTTGTTGCATTATGTTAAAGATGTTAAAATTGAGAAATATATACAATTAAAATATATTGGGGAGAAATATTACAATGTTAAAATGGAATAAAATATCAATATGAACTTATGATTTAAAATATATTTTAAATGTAGCTATATTTTATAGTTCTGTCTGTCCAGGAAAAGGGCCTAGAAAAGGTATAACAGGCATTCTCAATTCCCAGATTAGGGTCTCCAATACTGATTAAAAAGAAACAGAGCTGGGTAAGGTGGCTTATGCCTGTAATCCCAGCACTTTGGGAGGCTGAGGCAGGCAGATTACCTGAGGTCAGGACTTCGAGACTAGCCTGGCCAACATGGTGAAACCCCATCTCTACTAAAAATACAAAAAACAAAAAAACATAGCTGGGTGTGGTGGCTTGTGCCTGTAGTCCCAGCTACTTGGGAGGCTGAGACACTAGAATCACTTGGACCCAGGAGGTGGAGGCTGCAGTGAGCTGAGTTCGTGCCACTGCACTCCAGCCTGGGTGACAGAGTGAGACTCTGTCTCAAAAAGAAAAGAAAAGAAAAAAAAAAGAAACAGGACTCCTTGGGGGAAACAGTTGATTCCAGGACACAGGCACAGAAGGTATAAGATGAATCTAAGATATCATCTCGGGCAAGAAAGTTTTCAAAGATTAATGAGTTTTTGGCAATAGAAGACAAAGGATCCAGCTGGAAATACCTCTCATTGGCCAAAGGTATGTCAATTAAGCATCAAAAAGGAAAATGACTATTACATGCAATAACATGGATGAATCTCACACAAAGCCAGACAAAAGAAGGGTATAGACAATGTGTTCCTTTTAAGTTCAAGAAGAGAGCTTATGGTGATAGAGTTAGAAAAGTAATTATATGGTAAAGGAGGGAGGGAAAAGTGTTTGAATAGAAAGGAGTCTTTGGGGGTGGAGGAAATAGACGTGTAAAAAGAGCTGTAAACTTAAGATGTATGCACTTTACTACTACTATGTGTTATATGTCAATAAAATAAGTGCTGATTAAAACATATCAAAGTAACACAATCTATAATAATACTAAATAAAGACAAAGCCATAAACTCATTTGTTACCATTTAAGGTGGCTTTTTAACATATTTCTTACCTGGAAAGTTGGTAACTTGAAGGAAATTTAATTGTCCCTTTAAATTTAAAAGCAAAGAGTTAAACACTTACCAGAGGAACTCTACTTAAAAATATCTAAATGGCCTTATTTGATAAGGAAGAGCTTTACTTTATAGGGGAATATCAGCAAATAATTGACAAAGGAATGATTTAAAAAAAAAAAAAACAACCTTTTATAAACACAAAATTATTGTGTCAATTTTAACACAGGCCAAAATGATCAATTGGGGTAAAAACCATTATGTGAACAGCTGATGGGTAAGTATACATTTGCATAGTGCCCAAATAACACCACATAGATTATTTTCTAGTGAAGAGGTGAAAAATAACTATAACTCAAAGGAATCACATAGTCATCACCTAAACTATGCTCACATCACTAATGGTGGGTCAATGAGATGTCATGGGTCTCACAGTGTAATTCTGCAACAGTGCTTATGGATTTAGCAAAAAATGCTCCATTAGCTTTTTTTT